GCTTATAGTATCGCAATTTATCGGGATATATCGTATCGTGACCCATCTGTCATGATACGACAGCCAAATTCTTGCCAATACACAGCCCTAGTCCAAATTCACAGCCTCTTTTTTTTTCCGGTCTTCCCGGTCTACCAAGGACCCGGCCCACCTCGATCGGGTAGTCTGGGTCCTCCGGAGGACCCGGCCTGTCGTTTTGGACACAGCCAATGTCTCTCTATCCTTGTGGGGACTTTCCATTGACTTCCATTCTTTTTTTATTTTATTTAATTTTACAGCCTAACCCTGACTATTTACCCTAAGGCTAACCTCACAGGTACCAACCTGACCCTAAAACTAACCTAAACTCAATTCACACCTTGGTCCTAACCCTAACCCCCCCACCCAAAATCAGCTTCCGAAGTTGTGGGGACCGGGCTTTGGTCCCCACAAGGCTACATTTTCCTGAGAAATTGTCCCCACCAAGTAGCAGGAACACACACACACACACACACACACACACTTACGCTGTGAAATCTGCGGCGGCAGTGGCTGCCTTGGTGGCATCCGTGTTCAGAGTGGCTCCCCAAACAGCACCTTTGTGACCCAGAAACGTTCCGATCCAGTCCCCTGTGTCTCCCTGGCGCAACATGGGCTTGCCATCTAGCAGGAGGAAGAGAACGCACATGTTTAACTACCATGACAACACCAGACCTATCTGAAATGAAGGTGTCCACATTAAAAACACAAAAAGCCTTGGACTGAGAGACACACTGGTCCCGGACTTCCTGCCGTCCCTCTCCCGGTCTTGGACTCACCTTTGCAGGCGCTAATGAGGAAGTATCCGTACGGAGTGATTCCACTGAAGGCCAGGTCCACCACCGGCCGGGTGTGACCGGAACAGGTCAGAGGGGTCTGCCTCATAGCCATGTTCCTCCAGCTGGACCGGGACAGACTAGGGAAGGCACGGAGGGACGCTAGCGAGCAAGTTCGGTGAGCTAACGCCGGATAGCAGACGGTCGAAACCAGCAGCTAACCGTCGAGTAGTTAGTAAGTTAGTGGCAGCTGTCAGCTAAACAGATGAGAGTTAAAGTTTTAACTAAATAAACGTGGTTTCTACCGCCCAGCTAAGGAATGGCTCTCGTGCTAATAGCTACAACATTGCAACTAACTAGCAACGTGCGACGCGACGTCACTTCAGTGACTCTGATATACTGAGGATACGACGTTAGCCACAACATGGTTACTACTTCCGGAGTTTTACTCTCCACAATAAAACTACAAATAACCTTCACAATAAAGCAAACTATCAACCATCCATCCATCCATCCATTTTCTGTACACGCTCGATTTGTTATTACAAGCACTTAGAAATTACCAGAGGTTTATAGTAACTAAGTACATTTACTTCGTTACAGTACTTGAGTAATTTTTGAGTATTTGTATAATTGCAAATACTTTTATAAATAGTCATTTGTCTTTTACTTTTATTTCGTCATTTAAAACCTGAAAATGATACTTTTACTTCTTTACTTTAAAATTTAACAGTTACTCATGACAAAATTAAATATGTCTAAACTCATCACGAAAGGAGGTTGTTTTTTTTTTGCACTCTAAAAATGAAGTGTTGTATTTACTCAGTCAAGTCATGGCAACTGGTTCTACTAAACCTAGTAGGGTAAATGTGGAGCAATAGACATGTTTTCTTTAAAAGAAAATGATGCGCTAATAGTTATCAATAGTTAGCTATCAAGTATGACAGTCTGATGGAAAAGTCTCTGTTCAGGCTGGGCTAACAGCTAACCAACGTTTATAGAGAAGTTGTTTTAATAATGGATGGAGTAAATTATTAAATTCAATATTGCAGCAAGGGGACAAGTGAAATATATCAGTTCAGAGCTGGAGACAGCACTCTGTTTTGTTCCCTCCAGGGAACGGGTTGCAGCGAGAAACAGGATCTTTTARTTTGCCTGTAGGCTCAGTTTTATCTTGTGCTGTGGACTTCCAGGTTTTCACAGGCTCAGTTAACATCCTGTGTTTTCTGTTCATCACAGGATCTACTTGGAGGTGACAAACACAGAAGTGACACAATTCTACATCATTTTTACAACCAAACAAGGACCATTATATAAAACAGTTTTTCAGATTTATAAAAAAAATATAAAATTTCAAAAACACATGAGGGTTATGATGGCCCTCAAAGGGCCAGTTGAAATTAATTTCAATGTTTTGTGTAACTTTGACAAAATATGAAACATCATGCTCCTTGTCTTACTACCATGGCTGAGCACA